GGCTTTGCAGGGATGTCTGTAGTAAGTTTTTCCCTGCTAAAGGGAATATCTTGGGAACTTCGTACATGCTCAGAGGCTAGGTTTCTCCCTGAGTCTGTTTTCTTGTTTTCATGGAAAAGAGGGGGAGTTGGGGGGTAATCATAGCTTGGTTAGCTGTTCTGCTGTATATTGTTAGAACATTTTAATTCTAGATTCTCTTTTTCTGGAACTCCAATACATGCTGCCATTGTGAAGCAAAACTGTCAGTTTTTACTTCTGTTCTCCTCTAACTGAGCATTTACCTTAACAAGTTCATTCTGGAATTCCTCCTTTTCTCTAATACTGGCTTCTGATTTTTGTTGAAGTTCCTGATTTTTCCTAGTTAGCTGCTCAATGTCTGAATCTTTTTTCTTATTAAGGTCTGTGAGTTCCCTTATTTTTTCCCTTAAGGGGCAAAATTTCCCCAGCAGTAGCTTTGGGGGAACTGCTGCCATTCCCTGCAAGTCCTGCTGCTGTGGGAGGAGGGTGTTTCTGAGAGATTAGATTGAGGTGAGGCTCCTGTGTTTGCCAGGAGGGTGGCAGATTTCTTATTTCCGGAGGACCCGACATCTGCCTTTACTGTCAACCTCCTGCAATTGTCAGGGGTTAGTTTAGCTATAACTCCTTGGGGAAGGGGTGCTGCCTCCGGGCAATACCTATAGTCAGGACTTTTTTTGTAGAAAAAGCCCAGCAAGAACTTATTAGCATAATAGGCCACACCCAACAGCAGGAACTCATTAGCATATTAGGCCATACCCTGACAGCACAGCTCATTCGCATATTAGGCCACACACCCATGTTACCAGAAGTGTGGTCATCCAGCTGCACCCAACTATTCTTATTCTCTTTACCTTCTTTGTTGTCAAAACCCAGGGCTTTTTGCATGTTAGAAGAAGAAGAAGAAGAGATTGGATTTATACCCCGCCCTTCACTTGGAGTCTCAGAGCGGCTGACAATCTCCTTTCCCTTCCCCTCCCCACAACAGACACCCTGTGAGGTGGGTGGGGCTGAGAGAGCTCTTGACACAAACTGCTCTTTCAGGAACAGCTGTGCCAGAGCTTGCGACTGACCCAAGGTCACATCAGCAGGTGCAAGTGGAGGAGTCCTGTGCGTTCCTGCCCAAAAATAGCCCTGCCTATAGTAGATTTCCCGTGTCCAGGGAAATGCTGCGGGAGTCGTGTGTCTCTGCGATGGTGGACATGGTCTGTGACTCCTGAGAGGTGGCGGGAAGGGTTTTTATTACATCTGAGAGGGCCGCGAGGAGAACGTGCAGAGGCTGCTTGTCATGTAGGTCCATGTTTGCCCCTGACTCCTTAAGCTGCATCCGGTCTTTCTTAGTCTTTCCCGGTGGGTCTGGTGGTTTCGTGACTGTTCAGAGGCACTGGCTGCCTGTCAAGGGGGGTGTTATTGGGGAGGTTTGGGGTTTTGATTCAAACAGGAGTCCCTGCCTGTTTTAATATTGTGGTCTCCGGGACTGGTTCGATCTCGGTTCCAGGTGGCATGGGGTTGAGAAGGTCAGTTTCCTTTCTCATTCCTATACTGTGAATGAGGCCCGTTATTGGCATAGGTAACCACTTGTATTGGCTCTGATCACCTGGAATTGGGGGTTGTTTGCGGCTAGCTCTTGGGGGGATCTTCAGGGCTTTGGTTTCCTGGAAGAGGTTGGCGACTTGTCTCATTTTCTGGTGTCGATGGGCTGTATGGGACCTAGAGTGACCTTAGTTTGGCCATTAAGGCCAGCGGAAAGTGTATTTTTGAAATTAGGGTCATCAAATAATAATAATAATAATAATACTTTTTGATTTATTGATCGCTCATCCTGCAGACCTGCTGGCTCTGAGCGATTTACAGTTACTCAAGTTTTCACACGGGACTAACAATGATTCATAGGGTAAGGGAGGACAACATATAATTCTTTAAATTGCACACTTTTGCAGCCAACGGGGATTTTGTTCAGCTGTAAGCTTCAGGCGTGTTCCGGACGGCATTCACTTTCAGCTTGGCTGGATGACCTCAGTTCTTCCAGGACTGCTTTGAGTCGTAGTGCTGCACTGCCACCACCTGGCCGGATTGGCCCCTCACAGGCTTTTTAATGCCGAAGAGGGCCCCCCCCCCCCCAGGCTTCCGAGCTGGACCTTCCGTTCGCCGGCTAACACCCCCCCCCCTTACATGTGAGCCACCAGTATTAGTTACCATAGGTGGGACATAATTATATAAGTCCAGTGACTCGTCTTGGGGGGGGGGGGGGCTCAAAGGAAGCTATTTCCAGGAAATCGAGGGCTGTTTCAAGTTGGACTGAGGCTATTAGGGATTTTTGGAGTCCTAACTGCTGTTTAAGGGAGTTTATTTCTTTTTTACAGGTGTTATGGCTAACTTCATTTCTCTGGGTTGCTTGTTGCTCAGCAAGGAGTCTCAGTGAGTTTCTGTTGGATGGCCAGCCGGATGCCACCCCAAATGTTTTAGCTGTGGGTTTGGACTCTGTGGCTGGTTGGTTAAAGCAGAATCGACTGAAGCTAAACCCATCAATGACAGAGGTCCTGTGCCCGAGCTGTAGGATGATGGGATTGGGGATCCAACTCCCAGCTCTTGTCGGGGCGTTACTAGCACCAGCACCAACAATGAAGAGCTCGGGCGTGATCTTGGATGCCTCCTTGTTGATAGTGGTCCAAATCACAAGCGTTGCTAGGTCAGCTTTTTCCCATCTTAGGCAGGCCAAGCAACTGGCTCCCTACCTTTCGCCCCGTGTCTTAGTCACAGTGATCCATGCAACAGTCACCTCCAGGTTGGATTACTGTAACTCGCTCTATGCAGGGCTACCCTTGAGACTGACCAGGAAACTTCATCTGGTCCATAATGCGGCAGCGCGGGTCTTCACTGGGACACCATTAAGAGCCCGTGTACATCAGTTGCTCTGCCACCTGCACTGGCTCCCAGTTGAGACCAACGCTCCCTCTAAGCTGTGGAGTCTTGTGAGCAAAAATTCTATTTTGTGAGCTACTGGCATTGATGTTGTGAGCAATCGATTTGGCTACTGCATAAATTAGTTTGCTCCGGAGCCATCCTTCCTAAGACAAAAATGGGTGAGCTGGAGGCTAAAAAACTGTGAGCTAGCTCACACTAGCTCAGCTTAGAGGGAGCACTGGTTGAGACTTGATTGGCTGTGCAGGTTTTTAGAAACTTTACTTTGGCGACAGCTGCCACCACAGCACAAGAATCTTCACAGCGTGACTGAAGGTAAACTGCCGCAGCCATTTCGTGGCTTCACCCACCATGCTGTGGCAAAATTCCAAAGGTGCCCACGGCCTCAAAATGGTTGGGGACCCCTGGTTTAAGAAGAGAGGGGGAAATTCCTCACCGTGATACTTCTGGTCATGCTTTCTCAAATGATGCTGGCTTTGAGTCACACCCACCTCCTTTGGGCAAAACACAATAAAACCATTAAGCTCTGCAGGCATTAAGGAATTCCATCAGTTGTCTTAGATACACTCTAAACCAGCAAGATTTAAAATCCTTTTTCAGAAGCCTTCCAAAAGATAAAGCAGCTGACCTGCTTCCTCAGGAGAGTCCATGAAGGTTATATGCATTACCGCTGTGTGAGAGTGAATGGAAGTCCTGGCCACAGGCAAGCAGCTGATTCGGCCAAGTGCTCAGGGCTTCCAGGGGCGCTCAGAGAAATGGCTTTCGTTGAGCCCCCCTTGCAGGGAAGGGGCCGTGGCTCAGTGGTAGAGCCATCTGCTTGGCATGCAGAAGGTTCCAGGCAGGGCTCTTTTTGTAGAAAAAGTCCAGCAGGAACTCATTAGCATAATAGACCACACCCAACAGCAGGGACTCATTAGCATATTAGGCCACACCCTGATTGCACCACTCATTAGCATATTAGGCCGCACCCCCATGTTACCAGAAGTGTAGTCATCCAGCCACACCCACCTTTTGCTTCTTATTCTGTTTACCCTGTTTGTTGTCAAAACCCAGGGCTTTTCTTGTAGCAGGAACTCCTTTGCATGTTAGGCCACACACCCCTAACGTAGCCAATCCTAATGAGTTTCTTCTGTTGGGTGTGGCCTATTATGCTAATGAGTTCCTGCTGGGCGTGGCCAACTCGGGAGCCAGCCGGAACTCCGTTCCTGTGCGTTCCTGCCCAAAAATAGCCTTGGTTCCAGGTTCAAATCCTGGCATCTCCAGTTACAGGATCTGGTATTAAATGACGTGAAAGTTCTCAGCCTGGAGAGCCGCTATCAGTCTGAATAGACAATACTGACTTTGATGGACCGATGGTCTGATTCAGTATAAGGCGGCTCGATGTGTGTTCATTCAGGTATGACGTCTTTGTTACACGCTATGACCTTCCACTTTTCTGTTTCTGGGGCTGACTACCCTTTGGGTCCCAGGAAGTCAGGGACTGGATTTGGAGCTAATGCTCATCTGATGGAGCCAGTCCTTTAAAGTCAAGCCAAGCATTTTTCAGTCCCTCTTTCTGCCTGTGAAGCAAGCATCCGGCAGTGTCCGTCCCTCTGCTTCAGATTCATTGGACAGGTGCTGAAACAGGGTAGGATGCTACAGACAGAGTAGGATGCTACAGACACGTGATGGAGAAAGGCAGATGCTGTATCTGCTTTCTAGGGGGGCTGTTTCCGTAGAGTTAGTTCTGCTTGCCCCCTTTTTTCTGGAAGGGGAAAGCAGAACGAAGAGGACTGTGGCTTTGGTGGGCACCTTCCAAGTCATCTAGTGATGTTTGTTGGGAGCGATGAGGGGTGTGTGCCAAAAGGTGGAGTTTCCTTTCAGTATTCTGCTGCTGTCTGTGTCCAACAGCATCCGTCTTCCACAGTCTGGGTCTTCCGGAGGCCGCCATCCCTGGTAAACGGCATCTCTCTTCTTTCCCTCCTCTTCAGACTGCCTTGGTTCCTCCCGGCTGTCCTCCCCCGCCCCGCCCCGCCCCGCCTTTCCTGTGTGTGACCGTGAGTTCTGTCCCCTTCCCTTCTCAGATTAGTTCCGTCCCCCGCCTGAGGTCCCGCCTCAATGCCATCCTCTTCAAGCTCCAGTTTAGTGAACAGGTGGAAAACATCAAGCCGGAGATCGTCGCCGTGACAGCTGCCTGCGAGGAAGTCCGCAAGAGCGAGAGTTTCTCCAACCTCCTCGCCATCATCCTCTTAGTGGGCAACTACATGAACGCGGGTTCCATGAACGCCGGGGCCTTCGGTTTCAACATCAGCTTCCTCTGCAAGGTGAGTCTTCGGGGCCGAGCCGAATCTTGCATTTTACCCCCCCCCTCGTGCAGGAGTGGGAGGGAGGGGAAGCTGGTGGTGCTCTTCTGGTGGTGCTCTTCGTGCTGAGCATGGTTT